CTACCTGTTGTAGAAACCTACAAATTGTAGAGGACGACGTTTCGAAAAGTCTTCCATATTTTGTCTTCAGGAAGACTTTCAGAACATTGTACTCTTTATTTGTAGGTTTCTACAACAGTCAGTTACTGTCCATTTGATTCAGTATTTATTTATTTTCACCATGTAATAATTAATAACTTATGTTGTGTGCAATACCATGTAAGTAATCATTCACATTATTTATTGGTTGAAGTACATTGACAAGTCTTTTTAATCTCTCTGCACAGTCACAATATTTGTTTTGACCAATAGAAGGTTCCTGACCACTCTAAAGTTGCTCAATACGTAGCTTGTCAGACTTTGTTCCCTCTTTATTTCAGAAATGAACTTCCATATATTTGAATGATTTGCAGTAACTTGTTGCAAAATGCCACGATGCCATCCTTCTATAGTATTAGTTTTTGGCAAGCCCTGCTGCACGCCTTTGTAGCAGTTCCACATCTCAAGCTTAAATACAGTAGGTCAGCATCATTGTCTTCGATCAGGATGTCCAATCCAAGTATCCTCCAAATAATCGACCATAGGTGGAAAAATGTTTTCATCAATAAGAAAGTTTAAAATCTCTGCAATGTGGTCTGTAGAAATAATTGCTAGTGCAGAGAGCATGCAAATCTTTGCAAAGTCTGCATCTGTGTCGTATCTTTGTGAGTGAGGCCATTTTCATTAATTTTATTATAAATACACTGACAAAAATGGAAAAAGCACCCACGATTAACTTGCACATGGAAATTCAATGTTAATTGTATTTATCCTTGCAAGTTTGAAATCTGTTAGCACAGACATAGGATTTAAGGTAGATACTAACTCCTTTATCTCTCTAAGAAGTCTAATATATATGGATCCATTTTATTGGGAAACAATGCATAAATTAAAGGGATGACAATGTTTTTGCAACCCATGAATCATATATAATTGTTCAAAAATGTTCGTAATGGTCTTAAGTGTTCCATTAGCATACAAATGACCAGAACTTGCCAGTAACTAAGTTCCTTCTTGTACAGAGAATCAATATTTGATCATCTGTCGCACCAGAGTCAAACATTAAAAACTGTTCTCCATTTTAAGTTTTAATGTACTCTTCTGGAAAAATAATATTCCTTTGATAATTCTCATTTTATCTTTAATAAAAGCCCACAGTTCTAGAGAGAGATTACACTAGCAAGGTATATGCAGCGGGGCAAAAGTTACTATACAGTTGATACTACATGGCTGGTACTAAAGCAAATTATGAGGACAACTGAAACCAATTTATTTATTGTTTGTTTCAGAGAAATAGTTAGAAAGTAAACTATGTTCTAAATTAAATAACTGAATAGTAAGTAACCCTAGATTTTGTTTCCCAAGTAAATTCTGAATAGTTCTTTTTATGCTATCTATAGATGGCAACATAGCTGCTGCAGCTCGGTTGATTCCAAAGGATGTGTGTGAGACAATATAATATGATGCATCATGTGTATTATTTGAATCATTTCATATGCTGTGCATTTCATTCTTAGCTTCAATACCAGTGGCATCGCCAGAATGGTTGTGCTCATGACAATCTCGACTTACGTTATCAACAATTTTTATCACATAACCTTTGCATTTTTTTTCAAATTGCTAACATTTCCAGTAAACTTTTTCATGCACTTGTTTGTCTTTAACAAATAAATATCCATTCACTCTTTCGTTTCATTCTAATTCCCGTAAGAGTAGAAACTTGGAATTAAGGTTACAATGCAGGTCAAACGATAACACCCCATAATATCAATGACCTTGACCTCACATGACAATTGAGTAAGTGATGAAGTGACCCACTGGCAGTGTTCTTTGAAGAAGAAAAAAAAAGTGAAAATTGTTTTGATATGTTAGTCTTTGACATCAATTGACAATTATTAGTCCTGTGAAGTGGTTGTATGCAATGCATTGTATGTGTACTATAACAAAAAAGATATTTTATTGCAAAATGTTAAATTTTGTTGCCAGTGTGATATGTGAAAATTTGTAGTGCTAATTATGCAGTGAACACATAATGCTTGTGAATATATGTTTCAAAGAATCTACGGGATGCGGTTTTAAAGAATTGGTTTCAATGAATTGGTATTTTTCAAATCTGGTATCTTTTATATGTAATAACTCAGTAATAGTATAATAGAAGCCAATAGAGAAAGATGGAATAATTTTTCAGATAAAACCCATTGGTATGAAAATATTAAATTGTAAAGAAGTATTAATTAAAAGTAAAAGTTTATAATTTACTGTTAGTAATTGATGTAAATAAGATTGTGAAAAATTACTTAATGGAAGATTATGAAAATTTAATATATTTTTAAAGCACAAACAGTGTACATTAGAAATTATGCACAGATGGATAGTTTCTTTAAAATTGGAATTATCATTTGTCTGTAATCATTACAACATCTTACAAGATTCATTTTGCTTATGGCTGACGTAGGCTTAAATTATTTAAATTGGTTGTATTAATATAAGTTGGTAATTTTAGAAATAAGGCATGTAGCAAGACATTAAAGTAAGAAATTATAAAATTTATTGCCTATAAAGTTAAAAAAAAACACAAGCAAACTTACCACTTTTTGAAAACAAGTTACTGATATATACTTTACACTTTAACTAACATAGGAATATAAAACTTATTTTTGTTTTTGTAGAGGATAGCTTTAGTGTTTAAATATTATAATAAACTGAAATAAAAAGTATGACCTATTGCTCTAGTTGAAATCTTCATTTAAACCATTATTTTTGTCATTACATCATCACTGAACTGTGTAGAGAGAAGTGCACAAAGTGATCAGGTTGTGTTTATTTTGAAAAATTAAAAAATATTTTGCACATTTAATTGTATTTATAAATTAATTCAACAGCTTCTGAAACAATCAACAAATATGTAAATCATTTACTTATTAAATACTTTTAACTGCAGTGATAAATGTTAAAATATGAATTCTACCTGTAAAGTCAATGTTTTAATAAAAAGTTTCAGTTATGTTTTATTTACATAATGAAAGGAAATATGACATGTTCTCCCTAATTTTGACCAGATTCAAGATTAAGGCAGGCATTTGAAGCAGTTTTTAAGAAATCTTTGACTCTACAAGATGCTAACTCTGGTGATAAGGTAAATTTCTATTGCATCAGTGTAGTGTAACTCCTGTCCATGTTTATTAGTGATAAATATATATATGAATTTTATAGCTTACGAGAAAGAGATAAATCGTATCTAAAACTCTATTCATTTTCAGCCTCAGCCATCAGATCATTAAAACATTTTGAAGACAAAGGAATTTTAAATGTTACACAAACTAAGTCAAAATTAAAAATAAATATATAGAAGTGACAAAGTTCTGTCTTTATGGAAGAACAATGTAGTAAAAACTGAGACTTTTAGCATTCGTTATACCTAGTAACTTAGCTGGTTAAAACCTCAGGTGTTCAAATATCAATTGTCTTTTCTTCAGAGCAATTATATTTTTTTTTTAAAAGGATAGAATAAGTTAAAACCTACACTGTAACAAATAAGACAAAAAAAAATGTTCACCATTTATTGGTTGGTACTAGCTCTCTTTGTACCTACAGATACTAATTATTACATCAAGTATTGTCAGGTTATTTTCTGTATTCTACTTTTTAAATTTTGAGTTTAGTTTGTTCATATATCATGTGTTGTGCTTCTTAAAACACTTCATATTTGAATTAAAGAATTATTTTTTGCTTCCGTTTGTTTATATTTATATAACTAAATATTTGAGCATGTTAATGTCAATAGCATACAAGAGTTCATCCATAAATCAACATCTGTATTTGTAATTATTAAAAATCATTATTGTTAATGAAAATCCATTTATTTTATTATAAGTTCAGTTAACAGTCTGTCTAAATAATATCATAAATTTCGATTTAACATAGCTGTGAGTAATCAAAATGTTATATAAACATTCGTTACATTGACATTTCACACCACCTTGTGTAGTACATTTTATTATAAACCACATGACAAAGTTTAACTGTCAGTTTTGGTCAAATTGTAGTTTGATTTAATAATATGTGCTTTATACATAATAATAAAACTGTATGATATTTAATTTAAGCAGTGATATTTGGATAAGATTTTTTATTTGAACTATTATTTCATAATAATTTTTTTTAGTCTGATGGTAGTGGACCAACAACCCCAAACGTCCAAAAACGTGTACAACTAGTAAGTTTAAAAGTAATGATAGAAAGTTATATTTTTTCTAGAATTTTATTTGCAATCAAATGATAAGATAAGTGTTATCCCATAAAGTTAAATGTGTAAATCGTATGACTAAATAATAACAACTTCCAATCAGAGTAAGCTATGTACTTAGAATAAATCTGACATTCAGTATAGCTAATTAAATATATTTGTTTTTTATTTATCTACTTATAAAGATTAGAATGCATTGTTTCATCAGTTGGTTTACCCTTGCTGTTAATGATATTTGTGGCTGTGAGTTAAGAAATAGGACATCTTAAATTTGTTTATGGTTTTAGTCATCTGCATTGTATAATAAAACAAGTCAATGAAGTGTATAAAATGCTAGCTTCCAGAAATTTTAAGTTGTGATCTAACTTTTACTCTTTCATTACACTTGTTTGTAAACAACATTTCAGTAGTAATGTAGTGTATAGATTGAATTGCTAAGGTGTTTCTTTCAGTCATACGTTTTGAACTTCTTTCAAGATAAACCTTGGTATAGAAAGAAATTTAATATCTTCTGTGACAGTCTTCCATGTTAAACTGAGTATTTTATTTGACTCTTCTGTATAACGCTCAGTATCTTCTGTTAATCTTCCATGTAACTGAGTATTTTATTTGACTCTTCTTCATAAAGCTCAGTATCTTCTGTTACTCTTCCATGTAACCGAGTATTTTATTTGACTCTTCTTCATAAGCTCAGTATCTTCTGTTACTCTTCCATGTAACTGAGTATTTTATTTGACTCTTCTTTATAAAGTATCTCAGTATCTTCTGTTATCTTCTGTTAATCTTCCGTGTAACTGAGTATTTTATTTGACTCTTCTTTATAAACTGTTACTCTTCCATGTAACTGAGTATTTTATTTGACTCTTCTTTATAAAGCTCAGTATCTTCTGTTACTCTTCCATGTTAAACTGAATATTTTATTTGACTCTTCAGTATCTTCTGTTACTCTTCCATGTAACAGAGTATCTTCCATTATCTGTTTATTAATTATTTCTTGCCCATTTATTTCACTAAATCAAGATATGATGGCAGAGTGTTAGAAATATTACATAATACTCACAAATTTATAAGTTTATGCTGCTGTCTTATTTATCACTTTTAAGTATAGTAATATAGTAGTAAAAACTTAAAGTTTTAGAAACATGAAATCTTATTTTATAAAATGAGTTAAATAGTTAGTTTTTTATGGTATTTTACTCAAAAAAATGTAATGAACCAATTTCTAAATTATGTTTAATGTGGAACATCACTATGTGATGCCAGAACAAACTTAGTATTTGAATTAAGATTCTGATTCTTAGGAAGAATAAAAAGCAATGTAGTTTTGCTGAAATATATGTTTGTTTTTTAAGAGAACATTCAGTAGTTTTTGTGTTTGTTAAAATTTGGTACTTTAGTTGAATTGGGCACAGAATACTGGGAGAAATAACATTGAATATAATTATTCCCTAGACTTGGAGAATTTAAAATGTCTTAGTTGATTTAAAGCATAAAATTCAGTGTTTTTATTGAAATGTTTTATTTTATAACCGAGTTATATCTGTATCTAAAACTTTTTATGCAGCCAAAAGAACGAATAATAGACATGTCACCTGAAGAGGTAAGTATTAAGCATTTTCTTTAGTTAACATTTATATACACGGTGGGGTAAAAGTGTCTGTTCAGTTATTTCATTTAGAACATAGTTTACTTTTTAACTATTTCTCTGAAACAAACAATAAATAGATTGGTTTCTATTGTCTTCATAACATATTTTTTAGTACCAGCCATGTAGTATCAACTGTATAGTAACTTTTACCCTGCTGCACATACCTTGCTAGTGTAATATCTCTCTAGAACTGTGGGCTTTTATTAAAGATAAAATGAGAATAATCAGGAATTTAGCTATTTTTACTAAAACAACTACATGCAAGAGTTCTATAAAAAATAGTAAAGTTTGTAGAAAAACATGCTGGTGATTCAGTTATGTTTAATAGAAAAACCACTTTCATTTTAAGCTTTATTAATGTTGAGACAATTTAACTTAATTTTCTATACATTAATGAAACAAACTCACCAATTTTCAATTGGTGATAATTTTTCTGGTTTAGTTTTTTTTCTAAAACCCAACATTACATTAATATCCAATGCAAGATTAAGGAGGTTGATTTTTCATTCTATTAAAGATGTGTGGTATCGTAGTTAAAAGTATTCACAAAATGCAGATCATGGAAATGTTATGCAGAGTATTAAAATAAATGACACAAGTGAACAAATAAAACAATGTATTCATTGACGATAGTGTAAATTATAGCTTACTGGCCAGCTTCTAGCTGTTTGAACTCAAACTGACAGCTGTAGCTGGACAGAAGATTTCCAAAAAATGTCTACATAGGATAAGGACCAAGCAGAGAATATAGTAATACTACACTTTCAAGTCAGACCAAGGTTCAAAAGTGATGTTCCACAATACTTAATTTCCCACAGGTCTCCCAGTGAAATTTTCATTTTCATCTTTTTTCTATTTTATTTTGGGGCAAAGTGTCTAAAAAAAACCTATAAAACCTACAAATTTGAAAGTAAACCTACATGTTTTACCACAGAATTTTCAATACTGTAGTCATGATATTAGTATAATTAGCTAATATAGATTCATGAAGATGTAGTGACTTTGCAATATTTTTTTATGTGTGGGTGATAATTCAGATATGATTATCAGTATTGTCATCACACCCAAAGTAAAAGATTTATTCACGGAAATAGAACAGAGTCAAACTGGTAGAAACTTCCATGAGATAACTTTGATGTTTTTAACCTTTTTCCTAAGCAAAAGGATTAGTGTCATGTTTACAACCTTTTGACATCTAGCTAACAAGGACCTATGTGAAATTTAGAAATGTTATCTAAATATTCTTGATTATAGATATGTTCTAAACTAGTTGTGGAACAGTAAAATTAACATCTACTTCAACTGTGACACATATATAAATCTTTTGAAATGACAAGCTGAGGATGTCATTCCCCCATTAACAACCTATCTGTCTTGTGAAATTATACATCAACTGTTCTCTATCTTAAAATACTTTTATTTTATATGTGAGCTTTTGGCCTTCTTGCCAGAGCCTTTGCTGGACTACAATGAATATTGTTGCTTGATGAAGACTGTTAAGAGAGCCAAAAGCCCACAAATAAAATAAAAGTATTTTAATGTAAAGAATAGTTTGTGTATAACTTTACATACTAATTTATCCATGTTATGAATCTTAAAAATCAACCTATCTGCTTTGATAAGAACTGATTTTGCTTACAGTTTCCAAGCTCGGCTACCCTTTTTCTGAAATATTTGGTTTAATGTGATTTTGTCATAAAGTACGTGTAGTACTTGTAGAATTAGTGAGTTTATACAAGTGTTTATTTTTAATCAGCAACTAGCATGGGAAGAAAACCAACTTAGTCAGCCTGTGGATTTCACCAAATGTCACATTGATCCATCACCATTTCAGCTTGTGGAAAAGACTTCTCTTATCAAAGTAATGTTTTGAAGCTGTGATATCAGAAAAAGCTGAAAGAAAATTTTTTACAAAATACTATCTAACAAAGTTAAATTAAGATTAAATATCGCAGTTCTGCAATAGTTTTATTGTCTTGAAATTTTTACATGTTCTACAGTAATTTCTGTACACTGAATCCGAAAATTATATCCATTTTTCTCCATCACATACAGATTTTTCAAAAAACATAATATGTAGTTTTACATAAGTAAATCATTTTCACTGAAATCAGGTCACATTTTTTTATACTTAAAATGTAGACAAACACTGGCTATAGATTTCTCTAGACCAATCACAATGCGAGTCTTATCAATCATTCTAGAACCCAAACGTAACAAAATAATATTAAAAAATGTTTATTGTGGTAAATGAAATAATAATTTGATCTAAGTAAGAGTTTTTTGTTCTTCCTAATTTGTAAAATATCGATACATGATAGAAAAAAATGAATACTTTTTTCAAAATCTGCATAGCTGAATTATGGAAAATCCATTATTAAAAGAAAAATAACGTTTATGAAGTTCAGGCCTGTGTAATCATATAGGTAAAATATCGTAGTGTATAATATGTATGTGCATACCATTCAAACTGCTACTATTACTACATAAACTTCGTAACTGTGGTCCTTGAGCAACTTGTCATGCAGCCAATCCATTCACAGTTGATTCCTTAAACACCCCTATCTCAAGACTTAGCAAGTTAATGATTTGACATGAAATATTTCCAGTTGTACTTGTCAATTTTTCAGCTAGCTAGTCTGTTTCATTTATACCATTCCCTTGTACTAGGCTGAAATACCAACATGTGTAGTAACACTTACAGACAGAAGTCTTTTAGCTCTTAATATAAAAATTTATATTTGTTACTAAAAACCCTCTTCTGAAGATAATGTAGCATGTAATTTTTACTGGATAGAATAATTCATAAGTTTTACACTTAGGATTGATCAAAATTTTCATATGTTCATTTATTACTTCACTGTTAGAGGACAAACCATCAAAAGGAAGTTTTTTTGTTTGTAGTTAAACACAAAGCTACACTATGGAATATCAGTGCTGTGCCCATGAGTGTTTACATCTAGTTTTTAGCATTATAAGTTTCCAGAATTATTACTGAGCCACTGGGAGGATATATTGTGTTGTCAATAACTAACTATCAAATTAAACTTTGAAAAAAGATAGTTATTTTCTATTTTCAAAATAAATATTTAAAGTTAACTTAGTAGCTAATTATGTACAAATTGTTTCTTACAAACTATTGAATCACTTTGTTTGGTGAGAAAAAAAAGACCAAAAATTAGAATATTAAATGTGTGGTAGATTTAACTATATTTGATTATGTCATTAAAACAAGAATCAAAAATTAAAGTAATTATAAAGTGACCTTATTTTGGTTATCAAAAATGATTTCACTCTGTGTTTTTCATATCATATCAATAGGCTCTGAAAGATTGGAGCTGTAGAAGAGTTCTTTAAATAAAGACTTCAATTTTGATTCAAATTTCTTGGTGGCTTAAGTTTCATTTGAGTTTTTAACACACAGAATGTTAACTTATTATAATTTTGTTACTAATATTTTATGTGCAGGTTCATTCTCTGTTCTCTATGCTTGGACTAAATCATGCCTATGTCACAGCTATTGGACGATTGATTGGTGTCGTAGCTCTCAAAGAGGTAAGTGTGTAATCACTGGGAGTATATATGTTAATGATACGACAGATAAGTGTTTTTAGTGTGACACTTTTTTCTTAATTTTTAAGTTTATTTTTTAATTTTTTTGTAAGTAATTAGATAAGAGAGAGAGTGTAAAGTTCAAATTTTTTTTAAACATTTCCCTTTGTAGATAAGTAATCCTTAAACTTGTGACATGCTACACAATCTTGTTAATTGTGAGAGTTTATTAAATCTTACAACAAGCACAAAGCTGAAAGGTCACTCCATGTTTAAATGCTATTATGTGAACCTTTTATACATTAGCCTATTTTTAGTTGGTTATATACCATTCCATAGTATAATCTAAAGTAGTTACATTTTTATATCACGCAGTATATTTAGACAGCCTGGCCTATTCTAGCATTACCAGTTCACATATAGTATTTTAGTAGTTGTTGAATTTCAGCATAATGTCAAGACTTGGAAGTGTATGTCAAAATGATGAAAGTTTCAAACTCTGTAAAGGTTTGAATTTAGTTTGTCATTCATCACTACTAACACACAAAATTAAATATATATATACAGGGACACTTAACAGTTTAACATTACTTAGGGTTATCACTTATGAAGCTAATCATCTTTATAATAAGTAGACTATGTATTTTGAAAATTGTTTAATCCAATGTATAGGTTTTCTCAGAGTCACTAAGAAGTATGTTCACACCAACAGGATGTTTGTTAGTACTATTTTGCCTTATATGAAGTCTAAGACCAATTTCTAGAAATGCATTAGATAAAGTGGAAAATAACCATTTCTTTTCCTACACAGTTTAATTTATTTGCATTTCTTTTTGTAGTTTGCACACAGAGCATTATATTTAAATTTACAAACACTATCTTTTTAACATATATGAAAAGTAAGCACATCAAATCACTCAGTATATTTCTATAAAGGAGCAAAGTACTCAAGTTTCTCAGAACACTCCTAATTAGAACATCAATGCACTGAAGTTTTCAGTATACTCCAAAACTAGAACATCAAAGCAAAGCACTGAAGTTTCTCAGTATACTCCAAACTAGAACATCAAAGCAAAGCACTGACGTTTCTCAGTATACTCCAAACTAGAACATCAAAGCAAAGCACTGACGTTTCTCAATATACTCCAAACTAGAACATCAAAGCAAAGCACTGACGTTTCTCAATATACTCCAAACTAGAACATCAAAGCAAAGCACTGACGTTTCTCAATAT